ACAACATAGCACTGCCTTACAATAAAATATGTCAATTATTCTCAACATACATTGTTGCTGTACTAAGGAATTTCTTCAACATAAAAATAACAGACCGGAATTTTCTCATCCATGTGATATTCACATTCCTCTGATTGATGAGATAATTTAGATTGAAGAAATAAATCACATCCATTAGGGCGGTTTATGTTGAAGTAAGACAAAAATTTAGCAAAAAATTTCCGATAGCATTTTTTTTCTGCTGTCTTGAAAATGCTCAATCGTAATTAGTTGCAATTAAAATAAATTGCTTCATTTATTTCTATAATTTTTATTATTAAAATTCAAATGGAAATGCTTCCTAGCTATAGGTTTTTTGTAGGGTTATTAAAAAATATTGGTTCATTAGTTTGGAGCAGTTTTGTGGACACAATTCAGATTTGGGATACATTAAATGTTCAGCAACTGAAAATTGTTTAAAAATGAATTTTTGCAAGCTTAAAATTGAACAATTTGGTTCCTTAGACCTTACAACATCGCCCTACCTCCTCAAAGCTCCCTAAATACATCACTGAACACAGCCATCAAAGCTCATGCCAAACTTCTAATCCCACAATCAATTTTCCCCATCATAACCATCTGTTATACCTGCCATACTTCCCAACTAGTTTGCCAACTTAATCCCACACAGAAGAAAAAAAAAATTATTATCGGAAGCAGAAAGAAAGAATCACGAAATAAAAATAAAATCGAAAGTATTTCATTGCGTGATTTATAACTTTGTCTGTACTTTTTTTTTGTTACTTCAAATTTTTTATTTTGCGTTATCTACTATGTGCTTTGAAGCATAATAAAGTCTGCTATCCGAATATGTTTTACATGTGCATGCACTGAACATTGCTGATATCAGCTTTGCTATTAATGTAAATATGTAAATCGGAAGTAGCAAAACACCATATTCGATTTTTCCCTCAAGCTTATTCTCCATGCTGTAAATGTTCATGAAACTATAAAGAATAAATTTTTTATGGCTGGGAAATGAGATTTTTTTTAGCTCGAAATAATATTTATTGTGTCAATTTCTGCCTCAGAGCTTTTTTCTCAACATTCTTTAAGGCAGGAAAACTGGAAGAATTTTTTTAAAGCTAACTTCTCAGACATGTTTGAGATAATGGATAGATTTTTACGTCAGCAATTTTCATTTTAATTTTTTAATGGATTTTCATGTTCAACAAAAAAGAAAAGTTTCATCGACCTTAAGGAGAATAAAAATCTAGCAAAGGAGAAGCAGCTTGTGATCCTGAGATCCAGTGGATTCTAGTAACTATTGTTGGAAACTTACTCAGCTTAGGTTAAATGCTTCTAAAAGTTGAATTTTTTTAAGCTTTAACGTTGAGTCTTGATGACCTTGAGTTAGAGTAATGAATAAACTTAATGTTGGAATCGATATCGATTTATCTGACAGACAAAGAATCCAGAATAGCACAATCATCAAAGATCTGGATATTTTTCATAGCTTCAATCCCAATTTTTTAACTCAGGCTGAGATGTTTAGTACTTTAGATTTACAAAAGATTTTAAAAAATCCAGGTATCAACTTCTTCTATGATATGGTCAGGAATGGTTTAGGTACTAAGTTCCAACATACATTCCCAAATAGCACAAGTAGGTTAAACCAGATTTCTGATCGATTAACCGATTTGTGCCATTCGGGATACTTAAGATGCTTGATTGTCACACTTAATGCAGCTAAGCGTCTCCCTTGACATATGAAACAATTATTGAAGGCATCTTTATGAAATTCCAAAATCAAATAATCGTTCAGACAGCTAACAATGTGATTCATACGCAGAAATAAATAAATAAAACTTTCCAGCATTTCCTTCATTGTTATCAAAATAACGATTTTAATGAATTGGCTCAAGTAATTTCATTAAAACAATTTTTTTTGAGGATTAATTTCATTGATTGGCAGCAGACGTGCAAAAGAAAAAAAAACGCCAATATATATAAAATAAGTGAGTGGGCAGTTAGAGAGGATTGATAACTTTTAATTACCACTGTTGTGCGTATAAAAGCGAAAGTAGTGCGAAAATCTAAGGCAGTACAATTTGTTCATTCAGTGTGAAATAGTCGGTAAAGCAATAAATCATTAAGAAGCATAAATAAAAGATTATCATTCAGTGTGCCTTAAGATCAAGAACAATTAATTATTTGTGATAATAAATAAGAAGACATAAGAACATAACAAGCTTAAAGGGACATAATCCCATACAATAATTTTGTTCTAGTCTGTGGATAATACAAAAGTTTTAGTGATGAACAAGTTTGTAAGTTTTACTCGTACAAGAAGAGATTTATAATTGCCTATGTGGAAGGATACTTATGAGCGTTTAGTTTCTTGTGAACTGGAATAGAAAATAAGACTTTCATTATATAGAATTTGTGTAGAACAAGATGAAATCAAAATGATAAGAAAACGAAGAACTTCCAATTCGTGCAACAATTTTTTTCTCTCTATACTTTGCTTGCTCCATTGATAAGGAGCATCTGATAAAGACAACAAAGCACAAGAAGGATAGAAACTGACAAATTAAAATAGAAATAGAAAAAAATTATCTGAATATGAGACATAAAAAGATTTATTGAGCATGAAATATTCAGTAAAAGTGCCTTTTTTGTGAGCATTTTAATTTGACAAAAAAGGGAGGAATAAATGCTCGATTGCTGTGGGCTTTTTGAGATAGTTTGATAATGAAATCTTCGGATTGCTTTACAGCTTTTCTAATGCCTTAGATTTCTTAGAGCATTAGTTCCCTTAGTATCTTAGTACGTTTGATCTAAGATCCATTAGATTGAGTATAGTTTTATCAAGTCCAAACCAAGTCTAACCCTCGCCCATCCCCCAATACCAACCTTTAATCCTCATTTCAAAGTCAGCACATCAAAATTATAATAAAATCACTCTATTGACATACTCAGCAACCCATAAAACCATAAAAACTCAATAAAAAGACCTCAAATTCAATTAAGAAGTCTCTGATGGAATTATTCTGAATCTCTCAATTAAGAGAACTATTCATTAGATTATGATGATCATTTCATGCATGTTTGCATATCTGGAAACTTTCTCTGTGTGTTTATTCAATCCCACAAATTTATAAACTTTCCTCATTTTAGTGTAAATATTTCAATTTGAATTTCATTAAAAGTTGCTCAGCTCATGAGAATAATTGAAGGTTCATTAAGTATTATCCACATATCAAGCATATGTCTAAGAATTTAAATATCAATTATTATTCATCCTTTAGTTGCATTTGCAAATCCTAATTGTGGCATCATTCATTGGTGCAATTATGTGCCAACAATATAATAATCAGCAAAATCAGCATCAAGGCTATGGGGCACAATCACACTTTTACTTGCATCAAAATCATCCAACACCAACGACAATTGCAACGCCTGCACATATAACACCACAGCCATCATACCATCATCAACAACCTCAACAAAATGCCAATGGAAATGCTAATCAGCACTTCCAAAATCAATTTGCTTATCAATCGCCAACGCCGACACCAACATCATCATTCATGGATTTAGATAGATTCAATCAACAAGCTAAAGCCTTTAAGGACCAAATCAATTATTTCAATCAACAGCAATCGAAAAATTTGCGTAATCAAATCAATAGCGTACACCAAGATGGAAGTGAACCACATTTTGACTTTATTGTCAATCAAAATTATTCAGACTTGGAGAAAGCAAGTGAGCAATTTGTGAACCTTGGAAATATGGCAGCAAAGCAGAACATGCCGAAAGTTATAAAAATCACAAAAACAGTTGCTGTTAAACAACCCGTGCCAATTCCATATCCAGTTCCGGTAGTTAAAGTTGTTAAAGAGCAAGTTCCAGTTGAACAACATCATATTGCTCATCATCACTATCAGCATCAACATTCAACTCCAGCAACATTTACAATGACTACAGAAAAGACATATGATTTTAAGCCATCACCATATTACAGCAATTATACAAGCTACATTGGTAAATATGTCCCACAGCAACATTCACATCATGAGCATAATCACAATAATGTAGTTAGTCATTCAACTCCATCACCAACCCCAACAGCAATGGCAACAGCTCATAAAATTGCCGAGTCTTATATCAAGCAAGAATTCTTCTCAACTCCTGCATCACTTGCATCCATTGGTGAATACGATACTCGTCCATTTTATGTAAAAACGTCAGAAAAGGAAATGATAAAGTACATTCCAGTTCCATATTATGTAGATGAGCATGGAAATCGTCATGAAGTGTCAGGAACATCAGGATCATCGTCATCTGAATCATCGTCAAGTGAGGAATTAAATAACAACAGCTATGAATCATTTTACAAGCAGCCAAGTTCCGATAATCATTCAGGAAAATTCCAGTCATTTACATTCAGCTACCATCCACCACACTCAACACAAGCTACACCATCATACCATCATGAACAACATTCATATTCCACAGCACAACCAGATACAAAATATTACTATAGTCAAGGTGACGTAGCATCTGTTCCAATTTCCTCATCGGCTGATAACAGCGTTTCTCCATCACATCATTATGCTGTATCGGAAGTTGATGCTGAAGACGATGGAAGTAGCGAACATACATATCAATACAAGTATGTTTATGAACGATAAATAATTATTCACGTGGGACGAGCGGAAGATTATTAATTAATTTAGGAAGTTCTGTATTGAAAATTTCCTACTTCCGTTGAAATAATCCGAATTTTTTATGTAAAACATTTTTGTAATTTAAAAGTAAACGCACCAAATTCATGAAATAATTTATGCTCTATTGAATTTCCCTTCAATTGTTATTAATGTTGTACATGCATACATACTCGTTATTGTTATTTACGATTACCTGCTAATATTTTATTTTATTATGATTTTTAACTGCCAATATTAATGATTAAACAATGATTATTAATCAATAAAGTAAAGCTATTACAAGCTATGGATAGTTTCATTTATCAATACATATGATGATATTCTGTAAAGTGATGATGATGATAATTTTGAGAACGTGGCAAAATATGAACAATCGGAATTGGTCTGTCAATGAAAATTGGCTTTGTTATAGCCACTGGAACGTGTCGAATTTTCTCAACAAAAACAGGCACGGGAATTTTTCGTTCAATTGTTATCTGCTTGACTTCCCCACTTCCATGATCATGTCTCCAATCACTCATATAATTAGTCCTCCATGAGTCGTCATATTTTGTCTCATCAGCAAGTCTATCGTAGCGACTTGCTAACTTTTTGCCCATGACAAGTTTCATTGATGCTGTATGAAGTGCTATCAAAAGCAGAATTATCATCTCGTGCTGTGTGTCGATTGATGATATGAAAAGAAGGCCAAAAATAAAGGAAAAAAAAATAGCTTTTGTGTTTTGTTTATGATTGTGCGATGTCGGGGAACTAGGAAATGATTTATTAATATTTGACTATCAAAAATAATGGGATAGTTGGAGCATAAATATGAGAAATAACTTGCTTTATTGGAATTTTTACTGCATACTGTTTGTGAAGGAATAAATGAGTTTTTTTTGGCTATGCTTAATTTTGCGGTAGAACAATAATTCCATTCATTTTGAAGCTACTGCAAATGATTGGATTGACATTTAATACAAAAGGATTACTTTCAATGGTGAGGTGTTGGATACCTTTGATGTAAAAACCGCATTTAATTGAGGTCGAATGTAATTGATCCTATTGAAATGATTATTTCATAGCAGTTTAGTAGATGCAGCCTGGATATGGAAAATTAAAAGCTCATGATGTAAATTTCATCCAAATAATCTACTTTTAAGGCGCAAGTTTTCGAGTTATTTAAATAAATTGCTTCAATTTTAACACTTTAAAGTTTATGTAAAATTCCCTTGATAGAAGCATGCTTATTCATATCTCGGACAGTCTATGGCTTCATTTTTCGAATGATTTCTAACCCTAGTCTTCTCTTCTAGGCTATACACTAAGGTTGGTTACTTGAACCTACCCTAAATTAGTTCATACTCTATCTGTATGACCTCTAGAGTCGGCATCTAATGCTACAGGTCGTGCCACAAAACAGGGCTTTGTTCTTTAGTAATTCCGCCAAGAACCATCCCATGTTTCAAATTAACTTACCAATTTCATCATCCTCACTTTCATTTCTGTCACATCCAATTCTATTTTATCAGCAAAATTCTCAAACCTTTATAATTCTAAATTATTTTTTACGTTCAATCAACTTTCACAGTTCCAAACTGTCTGATAAGAGAATTAAATATTTCATTGATATTTATAGAAATGACAACAAAAGCGACCGACAATCGCAGACAAGATGAAAAATTTATTACTTTAATGACGTAAAAATGCTATTGCATAGAATATATTATGCAGTTTTAGTACCACTTCTGTTGCTGTTGAATGCATTTGCAATTTATTTTTCGTCAGTTGAGTAGAGTGTGGATGATAGAGAATAGAAATTGCTTGTGGAATTTCAAATCAAGCGTGAAAATTGTGGAAGATTAAATAAAAAAAAGTTTGCAATAAATTTTTTATGGCAATTTCTGTATGAATATTGTGTAACCATTATTAAAGACATAAATTTCTCGGAAATGACACACTGACATAGTTCGAAAGCAAAGTTATTGTCTAGATGCTGGAAATAGAGAAATAAGGAATTTTGGTTTGATAAGGAATGCTGTAGTTAAAGGAGGGCTGTGAGAGAAACAAGAGAGTAAAATGTTCGATGGCAGGGGAAGTTCGAACGAATGAAACAAGGTTGGAACTTATTACTCCAACAAATTGTAAACTTGAATCTTAACCAATTGGACCTCGTTTGACAAAAGATATTGTTCAGGGCTGGATTCTACGACCATTTGAGTCATTATTCCTTAATTATGAAGTTTAAATTCGTACTTTAAAGTTCAATTTAAGAAAAACAACCTAAATATGTCAAATTTTTGTAGAAAGGTTTTCAAAAACCAGCTTTAGCGCTTGCTACATTCAGGACAAAATAGATTTAAAGTCTCCGACTAAGTTCCCAGTCAATAGTAGTCCTTAATCAACACAACATCACCGACAACATCTCATCAATTCAATTATTCCTTACATCTATCCCAAAAACCAAGCTGACAAAAATCTCCAATTTTCCCATCAAAGCCAAATGCAAAACATCGGACAGTTCCACCCCATCTCAAAAATATAATCTACAAAACAATTTAGAATATTAATAAAATGCAAGAAAGTTTATCTTTATCCATTTCGATTATAAAAAAATGGAAATAAAAATAAGAATCGATTTAAAAAAATCTCAATTGAATTTAAATCTTTCAATTTGCTCTTACGGATCAGATTCCCATGCCACGCTTATATAACAGACTTTTTTTTATATATCTATCTCTTGCATATTGAAAAAAGAAAATATTTAAATTTTCCTCTTCTTTCCCTTCATTTCCATTCGTTTTTTTTTATTATCATAATCGTCGATGAGATTTTTTTGTTCACAGTGCTTGTTCTTATAGATATCAAAATTATCAACTTATCGAGGGTTTGTATTTGAAAACATTTCAAGATACTGGCCCCTTATAAGTGCCATATTGTCTTCCAAAAGTCATTGTGATTCTCAATAGCTCTAAGTGATTTTGAATTTGGGTAATTCTGTGATATGATATCTTTGTGAAGAAGGAAGAGAGACTTTGGTTATTATATTGATTGATTCTGATTGAGTTGAAGTTTCTGACTTTATGATTTTTTGTTTGTTTGAGGTTTGTCTTGACTTTTTTGTTTGGTTTGTTTGGTTTTTGTGGGTTTTGGTATTGAGTTTGAAGACATATGGTTGAGCTTTTGTGATTTATGAGATTTATTTACTAATTTTATCAATTCACAATGCAAAAAGAGCAGTTGAGCTTCAAGATCGAGTTTATTTTGAGCATGGTTGACTTCTTACTCTGATCAGTTCATTTACCAGATTTTTGTCAAGTTGTTAGACAGCAGCGTAAGCTTCAGACTAGCCAATTATAAATTGAATTCAAAAATGATTCTTTTTCATAAATTAACTTTATCTAAAATAAATAATTTCCAACAATTCATTTCAATTTTAACATTAATTTAAAAACTTTATTTTTGGACATTCAAAAGCAATTTGTTGAAAAACAAACAAGAACTTCGGAAGTACAGTGAACACAAAAATCAAATAATTTATGATAGTTTCTGACAAATAAAACAATAGTTCTGCATAATATGATAGTATGTTGCCAGAGAAATGAACTTTTCAAATAAAATATACAATTTTTTAGAGAAGAACATCAATTTTGTTTTTGCGGAAGTGAACTGGAAAGTTTTGTTTGAACAAAAATTTGTTAAACTAGAAATGTTTCAAAATGAATGAAATTATGAGCAAGAAATGTGATTGAGTTTGGGACATAAAATGCATTTTTAAGGTAGTTTGGTTTCAAAATCATTGACTTAAAATCAGTTTATCCTAGGATGCACCTGCTGACTAGACCTAGGATCTAGGCTTAACCCAAAAACATAGTCTAAGCTGCTTCTTAGATTAAACTTAAAAATCTGAATTATACTAAGCATCTAGTCCCAAATCTGAGTTAATTCCCAATAAATGAATCATTGACTCGAATTATAAAAGTAGCGCGACATTATTTTGAGTCTCAAAAAGGTCCAGACCCTAAAATTCAACATCCCACAAGCAAATTTCCCCAACGAAATGGTTCAATTTCTAAAACATCCAGCAACATTCAACCCACTTCATTCCACCTTAATTATTCATAAAAAAAAAAAAAATCATCCAACACAAAAGAATCATACTTAAAAGTACAGTCATTAAGTCTGCTCATTTTAAGCTTTAAAGACTCATTAAAATAAATGTAAATGAGCAAGTGCCAGAGCTTTCATCAACATTAATTTTGGTGCTGTAAAATACTTTTATCTACTTTTAATTAGACACTCGTCACAAAAGACAATGAAAAGAAGAATGGAAGGAATAAAAAAAAATGAAATTTAAATTTGGCATGTCACTATGCTTTATGGCACTTAACAGCTTCTCTTTGTTGTCGTCACCATAAATAACATCCTCCTCAATTTTGTTCATTAGTGCTGAGATGAAGTCATAAAGATATATCCATAAATGAAGATGTACAGAATTAAACAGTAAATAATGTGGTTAGTCTCAAAATCCGCCATAAATTCTGGCTTTTAAAAATTATGATTTATTTACAAACATATACACTCGGCTCGATGAGTCCCAGTCATGAACATCTATGCTAAAAAATAATAAATCAGCAAAGCAATCGTAAATTGAGTGAATATATCCTCGACGATAGAAGCGAACATATTTTTATGTGTATTTATGTTGCTGAGGATTGGATGTTTTGGGAGGACTTTTTTATGTTTATGTATGCTAATGTTTCAACATATTGTCGGTGCTTTGCCTTGCAATATGTACAATGATATTTTGAAGCAATGTTTTTTGGGTTCAGGGATGGAAGCTTTTAGTGATGGCTTTTTTAATTTTGGTGAAGTTAAATTTAATTATTTTAAAATTGATCTGAATTGAAGCTTTTGGTTTATAGATTTTTCTTCTTCAAAAATAGCTACATTTCAGTTGATGAAATTGCAATAATGGTCTAGGTTCCATGGGTTTTAAAAGGCTGCTATGTGTTTGGCACTTGCTAGGCTCAAAAATAGGTTATTGTCTTTAAATCAATAACAGTGGTGAGGCTACAAGTTGGGGGGTCATTCAGGATTGTATAGAAAAACCAAGGCGTGGAAACTCAGGATTAATCCTGAGTTTCCACGCCTTGAGAAAAACGTATAGCTCCAAAAATGACTGTATCTGTTAACTAATGTTACTGGTCTGTGCTTCTTTGCAAATAGCTAATATTATGAAGGAGATACCAGAAATAATCAGTAATGTTTCTGAAGGGCTTCTGTGACTGAAACGAGAAAAAGTATCCCAAATAGCTTTAGCAACTGGACCCATGGCGATTCCTAAAGACATTTCAACTAAGATTCAGTACACTGATGTCCATAAATTCCCAAAAACTTCATCAATTGAATATAGCTTTTAAATTGAATAATCCAATACAGTAAATTCAATAAACTATGTCAATTGCAATGAATAACAAAGTTAAGCAGAAGAGTTCCTAAAATAAAAATCTTCCGGCTATTTTTCTTCGACTAGCATTTATGGATGGCTTGTCTTTTGCATTTTATGTAACTCAATCTTGCTCCCCTTTTTAATATTCATCTATTACATGTACGAAAATTGTTATATACATATAATGTGCCTCTAAACATTCTCATATGATTCCTACTGTCTCCCATACATGAAAAATTATTTTCTATCCATGACCATTCATGCTATGTTTTATTTTTAGAAGAGAGTAAAAAAAGGCAGCAAAAATTTTCACATTATCTTAATTGAATGTCCAAAAATATATTATATATTCTGGGGAACTTTCATAACATGTGAGAGATACATAAGCTTTTCGTCTGCTCGTGCAACATAAAAACATATTTTTTCTCACTCCCATCCACGCTGATGTGACTAGTTGATGGCGAGGCATTAAATCATTTTAACGTATCTGTGATGATTTTTTTTTCAATTTTTAAACTGCTCGCGGCAAGGGCTTCAATAATTTTATTGCTTTAGCTTCGCGTGGATGAGTTTTTGTCCTTTTGATTTTGCATTAAAAATTTGAAGGATCCACATTCACATGCCATACATGTGTCTGACAAGCGTTGGAAAATCTATAAAATATTGCACACGATTAAAGCATAGAAAAAAATGGCAAAAAAATGAAATTTATTAAAGAGATGAAAAATGCAACAGCAACATCAGTCATTGGTGCTGTGAAAACTTTGCAAGTAAAATATATTTTTTATGATGGAGTGTTTTTCGGTGTTAATGCATCAATAGAATTGATGATAACATTAAAGTAATGATAGTTCTATGGGATTGAGTGAGCTTATGAAGTTTTATGCTGTTGCTGGTTTTTGATATTGCTGATCTACAGAATAGACATTGATATTGAGAGTTTGATGATTGATTTGTGAAATTTGAATAGAGATTTGTTAAAGCTGTGAGTGAACCAAGATTTGATAACTCCAATTGGAAGCTCTGGCTTCGTTGCTACTGATGATATTCA